GAATTGAACTGTATTGCAATAAAGAGAATTGGCTACAGCAACATGTGTGTATACAAACATGCAGACATATGAGAAACAGATCTATTTATGGATTCATCCCTGATCTTATTGAGAAAACAAGCCAATTATTTACACTGCTGTCAAATCGCCTCTATATCTGTTACCGGCTGGTTCCTGCTCTGCAACACGCCAATCTGCGCTGTAGCGTCTCTCTATCTGTTCAAACTATTTTCACTACAGCATAAACACTTAGATTAGGAAGGAATCTGATTTGTGGCTCCAGCTAGGCAGTTGTTTGCGTCGAGTGATGTCACAGAAAGACTCTCTCTGGGATTGGTTTGTCCCACAAGAAGGGATTATTATTATTATGTTGGCTAATATTCAAGGGGATCAAGTTTTGCTTATGACTGCTAGTCATAATCTCTAAAAGCAACCTCACCCACACATGTCTCACACTGCAAACTAGACTAAAGTTCTTCTCTCAGACAAATACACAAACAGCACAAATACAGGCACACACACTATTTTTTCCCTCCATCTCACACTATCTTTTTTTTGCTCTCCTTCACACGCAGACTGACACACATCGCTGTTTCTCACAGTCTGGACTTGCTTTTGTTTGATTTACTCAGTGACCTCTGACCCTAGCTGGACTGAGCTGGATGGACCCTGGGCCATGCTGCGGCTCCGACAGTTCATTTCCAACAAAACCCCATGCATGTGTGTGTGTTTGCATTTCAACATACTCATCTTCACAAGATATAAATTCCAGTTTTACTCTGCGGTCCAAAAAGCGAAATTGTTATAATGTGCCTTTGATATTTCGAAAGTGCCTGACAAATAAATCGTGTTTTTTTTACCACATAGCATCTGTTAAAAAGCTGCACCTGTGCGACCCACTGTTCCTAAAAAAGGGTTAAGCTAAATGAAGTTGCCTTTGTGTGCATATGAAACCCTCTTGGTAGCACTACACTTGTAATTCCAGTGTTTTACAAGCTGTTAACTGACCTTTTGGTGCTTTCATTTCCTGTTTTTGTGAAGCTCAAATAAATTAAAGATGGCAACAGTTATGTGACTCCTTCCGACCTTAGCCTGTGAAAATACCCAATCATGAGTCAGAGAGAGCATCAGGGAGAAAGGAAAGAGCTGTGTTCACTAAATCAAGATGACTATTTAATTACTTTTAAAAGTACCGTTAACATATAGAATATTGCAGTAGCTTTCTATTTAAAAGATACATTTAATTGAAAGTGACTTTAAATTTGACTGAGTTTCTTTGTGGTCCACTTTTTCCCACTTGTTTTTAAAACCACATCTTTAGGTCTCCATCTGTCTTATGTTAGATGATGGATTTCTAGGCATTTTCATGGTGGTCGAAACCAAATGTGATAATCACTTTGTTTTCACATTTATACCATCAGAGGACTTACATTTTAACTGATGTTAAAGTTTTGGATATAATACTCATACATCTTTCCTTAATAGTCCGCCTTAATCTATCTTTTGCTCTGATCTGTGAAAAGCCAAAACAAAACTATGTGGTGATAGATATATATCCTCCCTGACTGTAAGAAATATCTAAATCTGCAGTGAATAAATCTGTCATCCCTTATTCGAACGGATCAAGAAGAAATCTTTTGTTGTCATACTGCTTTGATGGCTCCTCTTAAAGTCGTAGCTGGGGTATTTTTCTCAACTCACCTTTGAAGGCGGTCCATTGCTCTGAGTTTTTTAACAGATGTGGGATTCCCAATGTTTACTCCCTTACGTGCAGTGCCTACTGTAAATATGGAGATAATAAAGACTGAAAATAGCCTGGAACTGTGCAAAGCCATCAAAAACAAAAAAGAGAAGTGATGGATGATGTCACCTTTGGAAAGAGCTATGCTAGTTCTTCTGCTAAACTAAGCTAACCAGCTGCTGGCTTTAGGCCATTTTTTTGTGCAAGTTAAACAAAGAAGATATCATTTCCCCCTTGATAACAACTGTTAGAAATTAAAATCAATGTTTATATGGCGTCATTTCAATTAAATACACTATTTAATTTAAATCAGTTTTATTCTGAAAAAAACGGAAGTTCACACTAACTATTAACCTGCTATTAACTTAACACTTTTATTCAGAAAATTATTTATTTCCGATTAGCATTAGCATGTGGCAAAATGCTAGGTTTTCAAACCGTGAATTGAAGGTGAAATGACATGTGATTGTACCCTAAACACACAGGGTTTAACACTCATTTATTGACATTGAAATCACGTTTATTAGGGAATGTTTAAATAACCACAGACACCAAATTGATGTAATTTAGCAACAGAAAAAGGCAGGAATTGCATTGGAACCGCCCCCCACAACGCCGGCCCATAGGAGAAGACCTCAGATGACAACATGAAGGGCAAGCCAAGAATCGATCGCTTCTACCCCCTGACCTGGGCTGACCTTTGGGGGAGAGCCGCCACTCGCACATTTCATTTGTACATCGCCGCATCTTTTGTGTAATTAAATGCTGTTAACTTTTATGGGCTTCCCTTGACTCTTTTCAGTATGTCCTGCTCTCAGGGTTCAATAATTTCTAACACAACTACTTATACAAAGATTACATACTATCTATAACTTACCTTCTTTTATAAAAAGAAGTTTAAATTACTCATTATGAAGGCGTAGTTGCTTTGAGTGACAGATGACTGTTGCTAGCCACATTTCTGTTTTGAGATGGCCGACTTTCCAGGATAAACTAGGCTTGGCGCAACACTATTAACTGTTACGGCAACATAGTAACACACTTCTTAAGCTGTGTTACTAGGTTAGCTTTTTTTCTTGTTGTGCAACACATTAAATGTCTCAATCCCTTGTTCTCAGTTCCCTTTAAGCCGTTGATCAGGAAGTGGACTGAATTTTTTTCGGGTTTCAAGCGAGAGTGACCTGAAAGACAGCGGGAGATGGGGGAGGTATGTGTTACAGTGCAATAGCCTGTAAGTCTCTTTGCAGTAACCACACCAGAGCATTGAGCACATGCTTATAGAGGTAGGCTAATCAGCTTTCTGCAGATGGGCTAATGTCCTTACAGTGGCTGAGAGGGGGGCCTATATTTAGCGTCCACTCTCTCCCTCTTAACAGCGGATAACATTGGTCCTGTTCTCCTTTTTTATAGCTCATCTCTGCTTAAAATCACCTAGAAGAACATGCAGACAAAGATAAAGAAATTAGTGAGGAAAACAAATCAGAAGGGAAAGAAAAGATGACACTACTAGACTTGCACGTAGCATATTTTTGAAAGCATGGTATTCAAAGAAATGAAGTAGAAGCTGAAAATAAAGAAGAAAGAGAAAGGATTACAAACAGACAGACAGGCGGCAGATTGAAAAATAAATGAAAGAGTCTAGGAAAATATCCTTTCTCAATGACAGCAGGGAAAGTGACATCTGGAGGGAGAGGCCTGCGGGCATTAGAGTAATGCAGACCTGAAGCAAATCTACTCAATCAGTTACCATGTGTCTCTGGACACCAAGGCTCTGCTGGTACTGAGGTCTGTGCATACGGTTGACATTTACCCGCTTACCTGTGTTACAAACTTACAGCTGATGAAGTCTGCAAGCGCTGCCATGACGGCGGTTGACGCTTGTTGTGACGTCTCTTAGAGGGGACCCGTTAAGTTTAGCTTTCACTGGCAGCAGCTGTGGTGCCCGTCAGGATTGTGCGGGCAATTTGGGACGTTGACCTGAAGAAGACTTTTGCTCTGTCTGTAAAACCTTGGCATAACACTTAAATCCCAGAGCTGCTTATCTGTAATGAAGTTAAATAAGGATAAAACCTTATAAAAACATAATTAGGGCCCGAGCCCGAGAGCGCTAGGACCCAACGGCGTCCTAGCACAAAGTGCGAGGAACCTATTGTTATCCTACATATTATTATTCTTCCCGTTCTTAGAACCCTGTTTTGAGGACTTTAAGACGCTTCCAAAGTTTTATAATTTTGCACAGACGCCAGGACCGATGACAAATTAGATATTCTGGAGTCAATGGGTTCAATTTGCCCAACTAAAATTGTTTTTAATTAGCATAATGTTCGTAACAGTGAAATATTCGCTTAACTTTCAATTTTTTGTTTTTCGACACCAAACTTAATATACAGCATCGGTGGAGGTTCACACACATTAACCTAGGAAATGAGCATATTCAGTCGATAAATATGGCCGCCATTAATCCAAACGTATTTGCAAAAAGGCGGGGCTTAGAAAGAAATGCTCATAACTCATCAACAATGTATCTAAATATCACAGATTTTGGTGGATAGGTTCAGTCTGTCTTGGGGAATAGGCACACAAAATCATTTTCATTTTGGGGACTATAGGGCGCGCCAAAAACACCGCAAATGTATAACTCAAGAACGGATGGACAAAATACTTTCTTTTTTTTGTAGACGTACTCTGGGGGTGAGTATGAACTGAGATTTAAAGTGTAGCAACAAGTGACAAACGTCATAATCACAACGGGAACAATTTGCAGAGCTCTGCTTCGGTGACATAAGTCCAGCCATGTGTCACGCCTCTTTTAAACATCACTGTTGGCTGAAATCGACTCCGGAGAATACATCAGTGTACCCTCGGTTATAGCTCCTCCAGAGAGACTCCTCTCTCCTCTAAATAAGTGTATCCCCGGTTAGGGCTCCTACAGACAGCCTCCTTGATAATCGCTCCTCGACGAGCCTTTAGAGAAATTAGTTTTCCTTCGAGACGGCGCACCAACATCCGTTTCTGGGTCGCTGCCGGAGGACCGAGGTGTCGGGGACGTGAAAATTAGAGAACTGACAAACGGCTCATTTCTGAGGACTCGTGTGCGTCGACTTGACGCCTGGACGACCGGCTGCCCTCCCGGACAGGCGCATAGACGCGTGGGCCTGCTCATCACTGTACGCACGTCTGTGACCGCAGTTTTAATTCAAATTGTTATTGTAGCAGGTACTGTTTCTGAGTCAAAAACCGAACTGAACAACTCTTGTCTGGTTTTTGGTTTTTAATTCTCAAGTTGATCAACTTGAACACACTTATCAGATCATTATTTTCATGTCCACAAAGGGCGGCAGTTTAAAAACACGTAAAACAGTGTAACAATCTCTTTAAAGCAACATAAACCCATGTAAAACAGCTCGGAGCACACATGTAACAAACTTAAGCTAAATCTGCATCTCAGCATAGCCACCGTCTCATCCTGTTCTGCTCTTCATCAGCCAAAAAAACCCACACATTTGCATACGACACAAAGTACTCAACGACACAGCTTTGGATCTGCCAGCTACATCAGCCAAATACAAACTGTACAAAAATCGATAGAAAAATAGGAGATTTGACATGTTTGAGAGAATACACACTTGCAAAGCAAAAGAGTTACGCCAGTTATTTTCATCAATATATCAAATACATGTCTTATAGCCCTTCAAATATCTTTGTGATGGTCCTCATCTGAGCTACACACTTTTTGCATTGTTCCCCATTGTTTGGTGCTTTTCCATGCTAAGGAGTAAGAATATTTTTGACAGCTTGAATCTGAACATACAGCCCAATTTCCACACAACTCAAACAATCAAAACAAGCTGACATGTACATTGGCCAATATTCACTGTGCTTTAATCATCTTTGAAGCTTTTCAGGCTTCGTGCAGCACATTTTTCTACATTGTTCCTCCTCTGCTGGGCCACTTCTCTCAGGAGTTGCTCTGCTGCTACATCCTTGCACACACAATCCAACCTCCACCCCTCTGACAAACATACAGTTTGTTTTGTGCTGCAGAGGTTCTCTTTCTCTCTCAAACAAGGAAGGAACACATGTTTTTACAGTGCATACAGCATGTAAAAATCTACTTTATACGGCATACAAAAGACGTAAAAAATTGTTGAGTTATATATTCGATAAGAACAAGATATAAAATGAATAAAATAACTGCATTTAAACTTTCCAGTGTAATTTAAAATAAATGGTTGTCCCTGTTTCAGAATGATTTCATACAAAATGCTGCCCTTTTTTGTGTGTAACATTTTCTTTTTGAGTCAATGGTACCCTGTGGACCTTCTGACTATTAGTAGCACTATGGACAAATGTTTTTACCAGTAGGTCCTTTTTTGGAAAATCTTAATTCAAGCACACAAGGACACAAGGACACAAGGACACATGTGTGTGATATCCTGTTATCAATGTTAAACTCTTCCAGACCAAATCCTGCTTTAGACGAAGTTAAGAAGAAGCAAACATGGATGTGGCCAATGCAAAGAAAACAATTATCCAAGTTGGCTTTGCAAATGGTTGAGGAGGAAGAAATAGTGTGCAACACTTTTGGTGAGCCAGAATGTCAACATAACTTTTGTTTGTTTACATGGAAACTCCACAGGGCACCTTTAAGTAAGTTTGAGTTCTATGTTTCAGTTTTCAATCAAACATGTCTCAAATGCATTTTAGTATAGACTACATGAAATGAAGATGCATTTTGAAAATATTCATGGCCAAAAATTATTTAAGTAGCCATTCTGTGATAAATTGCTTTTTGGAAATCAAGCGTTCCACCTTCCCTCTTATTTTGCATTTCAATAAAACTGCAGATAAAAGTTTTCTCTCTAGTTTGCTCTCTCAGTGCCAAACCTCTTTCTCTGTACATTTCTCTTAACATTGATCATCTATTTTACTCTCATAAGAATTTTGATGCAACCACCACCTACCCCCTCTCTCTAAAGATGATGAGATTATGTTGCTACTTCCTCTTTGGTAATCAGGATGTGAGTTTGTCAAGCAGGGCTGCAGATAAGGGCAGAACTAAACATTGTCAGAAATTATTGCAAAAGCGTTAGAGACCTTACTCAGCATAGGTAAACTCTCCGTTCCACAGTACATTCATCACCTCGGAAATCAATGACTCAACAGTTCTCTACGATAAAGACTCCTTTAGGCTTGATCTAGGCACTTAAAGAAAACATGCATTGCTTCGTTGTTTTTTTTTGTTTCAGTATTCAGATGGGAATCAAAGTCAGTAAACAGTATCCAGTTCCTTTTTTTTGTTGCATTGTCTGTGAAAAGGAGTCTCATACGAACAGTGTCACCTCTTGTCTGACCATAACTCGATACTAGCGCATCACGTGTGTCCTAAGCCACTCTCCGCAGCTGTATGCAAGTCTGTTTTGGTTATAATATGAAGAGAATGTGCAAGTTCCTGTCAGTCGCAACATTCCAAGTCAACCATAGCGCTGATGAGAGAACCCTAAATGTGATGGGTTGGCATCCCTCCCTGTGTGCTCAGCTTCTCCTACTGTGGCACCTTGACCCAAGGAAAAGCCTTTCTCTGGCCCACTGCCTCAATCCAGGTTCCTTGTCCTCATTTCCCCTGCTTCCTTTATTCCCTTTTTTGTATCTGTCTAATTATGTCCCATGTCCTTTTTCTCATTTCCCTCAATTACCAATCTCAAGGAGCAGTTTAAAATGCATCCCTTTTTAAGGAGTTGGTTCCAAAAGTTCCAAAGTTTAGTTACACGGCAACCAGGTGGCGTACATGGGATGGTGCTGAGGAGGAATGTACTGGTGGGAAGGCGAGGGAGGACAGTGGTACATGGGCTGAACCTGCGCTACGTAATAGTTGCTGAAGTTGCCGTCTGACACATAAGGAGCCGGCTGGTAGAAGCAGGTGACGTTGGCAGTGTTTGGGATGGCGTTCTGCTCGGCCAGGACGCGCAACGCCAGCGACGATATTAGGCTGAGCGTCTGGCGCCTCTCATGGCCCATCAGACACACCGTGCTCTCCTGCACCACTTCGTACAGCGTGGCCAGATAGTCATACTTCCTGTCCTCCAGGTCCACAAAGTGGTTCTGCAGATAAGACTCCAGCTTCCTTCTTTGCTCGCTGACATCGGGAAAGTCTATGAAGAAGCGCGAGCACATGTAGCGCTGCAGCAGTTTCATCTCAGGTTCAGAGGCTGCGCGGAAACCCCGCACCAGCAAGTGGCAGTACTTCAGCAGACCCCCGCCTCGAATCTCCTCTGGGCTCCTGGTGCAGATGAGGCGCTTGCGCAGGTGGTCGAGGGCGGTGGGGAAGTCACCGTAGACGCTCTCCCCGAGGATTGTAGGGTGGAAAGTGGCAGCCATGGGGTGCTCCGAGCACTCGTAGAAAAGGAGAAGTGAGTCCAGGCGGATCTGAAAGGAGTCCACGCTGAACTCAAACTGCCGTCGAAGAGAGTCCACAAATTTGAGTTCCACGTTCTTGCCACGGTTGTTGGAGAGGGAGATGAGACTCCAGCGGTCCGAGTCATTGCACACTTTCACCATCTTTTGCACATAGGCCTCCTAAAACAAGGCACAAGGGAATTGTTAGGAGTTTTTACAGACTAAATAATGCACCAAAGTTTAAAGACAGTGACTGAAAACTGAAGTCAAGACACCAAAAACATTGTTGGAGTTAATCGGTACACAAAGATAGATTTAACTGCCATATCATCCTGAATAAAAGCAAATGCATAATTATCAATATAAACTGTTGCACAGTTTTCAGACACATTCCTCGTTTTATTCCTATTTACACACAATCATTTAATGAGAAGAGGTCAAAAAATATGTTATTCCAACTTTATGGGCAACAGTGTATAACAAACTTCAAAACATGTGTTAATGTGTTTGTCTATATTTAAGTCCTGAAGACTACTCCAATATAATCCAAGCAAATTAAAGTCCACAATGATGAATGTCAGATTTTCTTTTTTCCATCACACAGGCCTACTTCTTTCCCTGTGTTTATCTCTTTTCTTCCTCCTTTTGCAGCTGGTGTAATATGGTGTTAGTGCATCAACATAAACATGCTTTTCTTATTCTTTTAAAGACCACACATGTACCCATGGTGGTGTTTAAGCACTGTGGGTGTTACATTGAGATCCTCTGAATAAAACATGTGAAAAAAAACAGGATTACTTTGCTCAGGCTTCAACAATAGGACATTAATGCTATTTGCAGTAGATAGAAATCTTGGATTTGGTCTGTTAGTAATGATGTTTTGCTTATCACATCTGTTAGTGGGCCAGCTGGGTCAGTCCTCAGTATCCAGGTAACTGAGGCCAGACTTATTAATGTGGATCCAACTACTATTGGATTAGACAGAATCCTCTTTGAATTGGAAACATATCTTTTTACTATTTCAGGGCTTACAGTATGTATCCGTGCAGATTGCATGTATTCAGGTCAGATCTAAATCTTTTTTGTGTACGATTTATTTACAGTATATTTAAGTGCATTTACAAAAAGAAAATGCACGTGACTGCAGCAGTGTTTACTGTGTAAAGAAATGGGAAAGTAAATGATATAATGATGAGCATATTCTGTTATTTGACAATCATATGATCTATGAGCCACGTTAAATACAGGCCTACTACCTTTAAAGTCACTGGTGTGATCTTTTCTTTATTCACCCCCTCGGGCAGGAAGTCCAGAAGAGAGTCCAGCACAATATCTTTCACTATCTGAAACTCCATCTCTGATTTCAGGTCGGCGCAGAATATTAAGTCCAAATCTTTCCAGCCCAGACCGCTGTCCTCGTGCAAGACGTAGCTGGCCGCAGAACCGTTCAGCCGCACCTCCCGGACATGGATCCGCTTCTCCTCCATGCGGCTCCGGACCACCTTGACGATATCCCGGGGCTTCACCTCCAGAGTAGGGAAGCTCCAGCGGCCGTGGATGGGGATGGAGCTGGTGAGGATGGTGTCCAGCCGCTGCACTTGCTCCCAATTGAGGACACTGAGGTTGATGCTCTCTCCGTCCGAGCAGCTGTCAACACTATCAACACTTTCGTTCATGTTGAGAAGAGGTAGACAGAATGATGTAGAAACGTGCCACTAACTCCTGCTGGAGCTTTGGGAGCTAATGAGTAACATTCAAGATTCTGGATGAAAAATCGTCTCTGCGCGTGGCGGAAATAACTAGTTAGACGGTGTCCTAACTTATTGTCCTACTTCTTACATAAAGTCTGCAGTCCAGACACATTCAATTTATTAGCTTCCCAGCCGTAAGGCTTAGTCACCGTCCAGCATCTGCTGCTACACTGCGCGCTCCGCTCCGGTTCGGTCGCCAAACTCTAAAAACATCAACTGCAAAAGTTTGAACAATTCTTCTTCTCAGTGTCAGCTTCTCATTTCGTCCCAAAGGCACACAAACGCATCCATTGCAAGCATGAAAACGTTTTTTCCACCGCAGAAGTTTTACTTTACCCCCTCTGTCTCACTTTTACGCACGGGGTAGTGCAGGCCTCTGCTGCCTAACAATAACTTTACGCACTCGTTTAAGGACTGCTACACTTTCCCACTGCACACCCACTTTCAGAAAGTGGTGTATGGCAGTTTCCCTTCACATTTTGTTCGTTTCTTGCTCGTTGGTACTATGTTGTGTGTCACCGAGGTCCCACTCCACAGCTGCAGGAGAAGTTGTGAACAGAGCGCTTCCCGTCTGAGAGGCGTTTGGGCGGGGCGGTTTGATTGACAGTCCACACCTACAAATAGCCGCTTTCCATACTTTGAGTTGCTGCAAGCCCAGGGAGGCGTGTCTAGAGAATGGGCGTTACACCAACAAATGAGACACATTGGACCCACTATGTATCGATGTATCGACACTCCATCCTCTCCAAACTAACCATCAATATGGGTGCTCCCCTTTCTGTTCCAAATTGTTATGTTTGATCATTGCAGTAATGATAAACGTGCTTAGATATCAGCTTAATTTACCAATAGATGTCTGGAATAAACTTTAACTTGGTACAATAATGGCCAGTAAACAGAAAGGGTTGCTCAAGTTTCTGCCTAATTACAATTACTGTAAATGATTTCACTATTATATGATATTTCATTAAGTGATCATTCACAGGTGAGGAAGGGGGATGTACAGCCACATTCCCCTAGGTCTTTTTTTTTTAACCCACCATCATTTGGCTCTGCATACATTTATGTGCATCAATCCGGGACTACTACACACTTTTACAGGTACATTACTTGTATACAGTATATCCAATGTAATATATATTTATAAATAAATGTAAAAAAGGTCTGTATTCGGTGCATGTTTGCAATGAACTCCCCTGATGTTTAGGATGTAGACAGTCAGTATGTAGGGTATAGGCCATATACAGTTCCATTAAGAATCTATCAGTGCAAAGCTTGGCACGGATATCTGCGTCACTGCAGACGAACCCATAAACCAGCTTACCGCAGATTACCCTGTATGTGCTGTGACACACACATTTACACACAGGCATGCATAGAAACGCATGCATAGAAACATATGCATATAATTCAATGCTTATGCCCCTTAGCTTAAAAGTATTATCACTGCATTCTCTGTGCATCAGACCATAACACATCAATGGAAGTTTGTTTTTAATAAGCAACCTTTAGATTTATTTCTGCAAAATTACTTTGACACATTGTTGTTTTGTGTGTGTATTTGTCTGGATAAAACTGAATCTGATAGCACTTTATTCATCAAGCATTCCAGCGATTAATACCGAGATATCAAATGAAACACTATTATGTACAAATATGGCCTATAAGTCAAATTTACTCTGACGTGTTAAAGGTTTTACTTTTTCAGGTAATTGGAGTGTTTTTTTTTCTTCTGATGTTACTAAGTTTGTGTTAATCAGATGTCACATAAAGACAAATTAAAATGACAATAAGTTCAATGTTGAACCTAAAACTTTATTCATGCCACGGTACACAGTACATGTTGTGTCAACAGATTGACCGAGTTGTAAGTGTCACTGAACTTTCCCCATTCACCAAGAAGCTCAATGTCAGGCTTACTGCTGGGGATGCTTACCGTGAATCTTCTCTTTACCTGACCTCTGACCTGTCAAGTGGATGACACCTTGATTTTCTAATTTTTGACGACATTAGAGGATTGGCAAGGGGATGTCAGACAGACCCCTTGTTTGGCTGCCAAAGCAATTGCCAAGTGGAAATAATTGTGTGTGTGTTAGTTTTTGTAAATGAGTTGAATGTGCCTACATCCCTCTTTACGCAGGATAGTCAATTAAATGAAGTTTGTTGAAAGTGTTGTGTACACTTAGTTAACTCACCACTCGATCTATGGCCACCTCCCTTCTGACTACATCATTCCTTCCCTGTGTCCTATCCCATCCTACTGTTCTTTTTCTTTTTTGCCGAGCCTCTTTTCCATCCACTTTTCTTTCATTCCCACACGTAGAAGTTCATTATGAGATTACAGTGAGCCCGTTAGCTGAATGGCCTCTGCTCTTGCTGCTGCCTTTTCCCCTCTCACTCCTTAACACCGTCAACTATTTTTATTCTTTGGTCTGGATTTCAATTAGACGGGAAAACTATCCGTCTTTGAGGCCATATTGACTGAATGCACTCTTCCTTAAGCCAATTAGGAAAAACGTCTTTATTTGTTCTAAAGTAGCAGACTTGGGAGTACAATTCATAAAAGGGAATATGATCAGCTTTTGTTCATATCGGTAGAGGGTAACTGTATCCATTTTTAAAGGCTAAAAAATACTAAAACCACCCCCACATTTCCTACACTGGCTTCCGCTTTTCCACTTAATATTGAATTCAAGCCCTGGTGTTTGTGTACGAAGTTGCTAACAGGGACGTGTTTCAAAATAACATTCAGCAAAAAAAAATCAGACCTAAATCAAATATCATGATTAGACGTACAAACCTATAGCTAACCTCAGTTTACTTGAGCGAATGCTAGAAGAGATTGGCGAGGTAGCTAGCTGTAAAGAGCAGCTAGTGGTTAGCTAGTTTGTGAAGATGCTAATGTTAGCTGGTTACATTTTTGCTACCTATTTTATGTCAACTGGGTCGTTCAGTGCATTGTTGAAAAATGGTTTTTGCTGTTAAAGTTGAGCCAGATTGCATAAACAGTGAGAAGTTCTGCTAATAAAGTGGCTAGTTAGCAACACCTGTTGGTCAGCTGACAGACTGGACCTGGGTTACTGTTTGTTTCAACCTGTTGGCACAGATTAATTAATGTTTGCATCACTAGATATATATCTGCTTCAGCTTAAAGGACCATTTTGTAGGATTTAGGTTGATCTATTAGCATGTGATACAGAATATCATATTTATGCATTATTAAGAATATATTATATATATAACAGCTTAATTATTTAAGAGAGGTAGCCTACAGGAGGGATCGGTATTGTGATTCAAGGTTGCGGTAAATGAAAAATGATATTGCGATTTGAAGTATTGAAGTTGATACACTTGCACTTTTGCAGTAAAAATGAATCTGCTACAGACCTTCCTGTTCCTTCTACTGTATCCCTACTATGCAAGAAACTTAACATTTTCAGCCCATGTAAAGCAGTAGCTAATTTAGCTAATGACACTTCATGCTGGACGAACCTTAACATTAGGCCTATTTCCAATCAGTTTTAACCCTGACCTCAGTAAGAGCCATTTGCTGAGTAGTAGTGTAAGCCCCCACTAAACTCTTCCACAGCCGCTAATGAGATTCATCTGACGTGCTCTGCGCTGTAAGCCATGCTGCAGCGCTCCAAAGTGCTCTGTGTGGGAGTATGTTAATGGCACATTTACACTGTGAGAATATCGTGTTTAAAAAAAGGGCAGTGAAGATGGTGGCTTTCCATATCACTTTTCTTCACCAAAACATAAAGGAACACACACAGTTTTGCAAATGTTCACACTGTTAAATTTAACATCTGCAAAATGTTCTTTCTCACCAATAAAAAACGCATATGATCATTTTCAGACAATGCATTCATTCAGATGTGTGTTGCTCAAAACAAAACACACATATTGTCCATGAGAAAATGGCTACAAAAGTCTTAGCACTCCTAAGGTTTACAAGTTGTTTACAATTTAATGATCCCAGAGCATATATTATGTGTACAAACACTGTGTGAACCGAACTCAGTATATTAAAGAAGCCACAGAGACAGCCTCTCTGCCAATGTTTTTCCCCATTTTGGTATAAGACTGTTCTTCGTTATTGACCAGTCATGACTTAAGGCAGCAAACTGCTGTGACAGGAAGCAAATTGCTCAATCTGTGACTCAGCTTCCTGTTTGATGCGGTAGCTGGAGATGTCAAGACCACATTGATATCTGTGCTGATCTCTGCCCCATGTAAGCAGACACATGCACATACACACATTATGGATGTCTCCTGGCTCTCAGCTGTGACCTTAAATTAGTTTTATGGGCACTAAACTAGAGATTTGGCACCCACAAGTGGTTATTGAACCTGAGCGGTCCAGGGATTATTGACAGGATAGGAAAGCACGAAAAATCAGGAGCATTCATTTCTGCCCGTCTCAGACATTTATTGATTCATTAAAAAATAAACATTGGAACAAAAACAGGGAGACATCAGTCTTGAGTTGAACTGGTTACAATTGGTTTGTGGGCCCCTGAACTCCAAGGCCCAAATGCTCCTGTTTTAAATTATTGTGCAATTTTTTAAATATTTCTTCCTTGCATGATATTTCAAAAACGGTTCATGTGTCAAGATCTACTCTTAATGCATTCATTCAGTTTTGTAGGTATTTGTCACAAATTCCTAAAGGAATAAGTGGAATCAAATCTTCAGGTTGTAGGATACACACATTTAAAAACGTTGATACTGTTGTTGTTGGATTCAGATATCAACCTAAGGCAGGAGTTTGACAAAAGGTCCATACTTTGTATAACAAATTCCAAGCAATTTTAATTGTGCACATTTTTTTCTTTGTCAGGCTTGGTGTAAGGATTTGTTTGATCTGAATGTTGCACAAGTAAAATGTAAGGGTGCTGGTTGTAAGTTACTTATGCCTGATTCTAAAGTTATTAGAATAATTGTATTTAATAAAAAAGTACATTGTAATTATAGATTAACAATTTACCTACATTTTCTTCTAGTTTCATGGAGAAGCTGGAAAGCCCCTCATAAGTCTCGACATAGGTCCTACAGCATGAAAGAACTATGGTGCCATCTGCTGGATTTGAGCAGGCAACCCATGTTGTAGCGAACTAACATGAGATGTGTGACTCTGTGAACACGTCTTCTGATATCTCACTAGGTGTCGCTCTTTTCATACTATTCATTTTAGAATACATCTTTCCTCTCTTCTATTCTCTCTTTCCCACACTGCAGCCTGCACTGAAACGTTAGCACATGTATTTGTACAGCTGTGTTGAGTAAACAGTGTCATCCAAGAGCCAAGTTAGGTCATCTTATCCTTTAATGTGGTGTATTGTGATTCTGGTATTAAAAGCTGAAGGAGTTGGATGAACCAGGGAAATGTATGAGAACATAAACCAAATCAGCCATCAATCATTCAAAGCATCTCCATCTTTCTTCACATGTGTATCGTATGTGCTGAGAGAAGAGGGGTGAGCAGATTTGGTTGTTTTTTTTAGTCCAGTGTTTCCAAATCTTTCTCCCTAAAAGAATAATCAAACTGATGACCTCTGACTTATTTTCATGG